AATGGTTTGCTTGTTATCATCTTGTGATGAAGACGCCAATATAAATGAAACTACCGGAATCCCTGAGATGATTATGTATTATAATCAAACTAAAGGCGGAGTGGATACACTAGATCAAATGTGTTCTCTGATGTCCAGTAGTAGGAAGACGAATAAATGGCCTATGGCCGTTTTCTTCGGGATGGTAAATATTGCGTGCATTAATGGCTATATTATATACAGCCACAATGTCAGTAGCAAAGGTGATAATGTTCTAAGTAGCAAAAACTTCATGAAAAACCTAAGCATGGCACTAACATCGCCATCTATGGGTAAGAGATTAGAAACACCTACTTTGAAGAGATATTTGCGGGAAACTATATCTAATATGTTGCCGAACGATACTGCTGATTCATCGGAAGATAATACTGAAGAGCCAGCACCAAAAAAGCGTAGTTACTGCACATATTGTCCATCTAAAATAAGGCGGAAGGAAAGTGCATTGTGCAGTAAATGCAAAAAAGTAATTTGTCGTGAACATAACATTGACATGTGCCAAAACTGCATCTGACTGATTTTTATAAAGCTATATCTTCTTATGCTACGTAAGATTTCTTTTTTATTTAGTATATAAGTCAAAATAACTGATAATTAATAAAAAGTAAGTAATAAGCTCTCAAAGAAATATGCTTCTTAAGTTTTGTTGATTACTGAAGAATTTGCATTGTTTTTGTTCTTTTTATAATAAATAATATAAATATATTTGAAATTCTAGTATTTTTATTTCGTTTGTATCTAGAAGTATAACCCATATTAGTTTATTCTATGTTAATCAACACAATATGACAAAATAGCTGGTTAAAGTTCATACGTCAATTTTACGCATGATTATCTTTTACGTATGTCAGAATATGATTATCTTTCTAGGGTTAATAAATCTTATGAAAGGTGGTGGTGAGTTAATCATATATTAAGTACACTGAGAAGATGACAATAAGAGATAATCTTTTGATTATAATTAAACATCCACTGAGAAATCGGATGTCAGTATTTCAAACTTAAGACGACTACTCTACGGTGCAATGCAAGTTCTAAAAATTTGGAAAAGGTGTAAACTACCGACTCTTGGATATGATATATGTAGCTTTACTTTGATTTTTGATGTTCGACCACACTTTTAACACTATTAAATTTCATTCGTACTCGAAAATTCGTTTAGCGATAATTCGGTAATATACCTTTTAGTCAACATTTTAATGTGAATGTTGTATTTAATAAGCACACCAACTAAATATGGTTTAAATTTTTAGCTTAAAATATGCAAACAGATTCTGACTCGAGCTCGTCTTCTACTGAAACTGAATGGGCTACATTTTCTTCAACTCACATGTCTTTTGTTATAGAATTACCCTGCAAACCATTTTTTCTGAATCGTAAAGAAATTTTAACGAATTCGGAAAGCTCCCATCCGATTTTTTCCGAATTTTCTAAAATGAAATAAATTACGCACACTTCCATTCTTTTACGAAATTTCGGAAGAAAATCGGTGAAGAAATGAAAATAATGCTGCTATGTGAAGAATTTCTTGCAGACTTTTTTCAGAATTTTCTTTATTTTTCGTACAGAAATTTCTTTACGAGTTCGTGTCAACCACTTCATATAATTTTCTTTGAAGATTCGGAAAAAAATCGTTACAGAAATCAGATACTCCTAAAGATTTCGTTAAGATTTCGGGAACTTTGGTTTGCAGGGTAACTATATTTTTATAAAAAATTTAAATTAAGTAAGGAAATACAAAAATTTCAAAATCTGTCAATACGTTTTACTACTATTTTCCTGAGCACAGCTGTACATACATACGTAATACCTTTGATTTGTTTTAAAGTAATGAATTTTTATATTGATAATACTATATGTATTTAAAAGTCTATTAGTTATTTTTTGTTAAATTAATGCGCTGTTATTTGGTTGTTATAATGTTAATAATAAAAAATACGCTTAAAAATTAGCTGATTTTTATGACTTTGTACTGATTTTTGATCCCAACTGTACTGATTATGTCTCTATAATATCTGGCCACCCTAGTTACAAGTAAGTTTGCGCAAGCTGGACATTGTAATCTGCAAATACTTTAGGGGGACTGACGCTTTATATTTTTACAATTCGTAATTCAGGGTTAGTGATTGAGCGATGATTTTTGTTTATACGTAATTTTTTTTTTAAACTAGACATACTTTCGGCTATGCAGTTTTATAATTCATTTACATAATTCGCGTTAATTTTTGAGACTTTTTTTCGTTGAAGGTGTTGCACTTTTTTCATAAGCTATCTGTGTGCAAACTTTCATGCAAATCAGTTCAATCATTTACGCGTATTAATATAATTAAACTTTCCTAATACGTGATAAATCTTAAAATAGTAGCCTATTTTCCAACATAGGCCATAAACTATCTCTGTGCTAAATGTCATGCAAATCCGTTCAGACTTTTCCACGTATTAATTTAATTAAACTTTTTAACAGGTGGTAACTCTTAAAAAAAGTAGCCTATTTTTCAACCTAGCTCATAAGCTATCTGTGTGAAAACTTCCATGCAAATCAGTTCACTCATTTCCGCGTATTAATTTAATTAAACACTTCTAACAGGTGGCAACTCTTAACAAAAAGTAGCCTACTTTCTAACCTAGGTCATAAACTATCTGTGTGCAAAATTTTGCAAATCCGTTTAGTCGTTTGCGCGTATTAATTTAATTAAACTTTTTTAACAGGTAGCAACTCTTCCCAAAAATTGGCCTATTTTCCACTGTAGATCATAAGCTATCTGCTTGCAAAATTTCATGCAAATCCATTCAGTCGTTTCCGCGTATTAATTTAATGCAACTTTTTTAACAGGTGGCAACTCTTAAGAAAAGTAGCCTATTTTCCAATCTAGGTCATAAGCTATCTGTGTGCAAATTTTCATGCAAATCCATGCAGTCGTTCCCGCATATTAAATAAATTAAACTTTTTTAACAGGTGGCAACTCTTAAAAAAATAGCCTATTAACCAATCTGGCCCATAAGCTATCTGCGTACACAATTTCATGCAAATCCGTTCAGTTGTTTCCGCGTGATGATTTCCCAAACATCCAAACATACAAACTTTCACATTTATAATATTAGTAAGAGTAAGATTATAGTAAGACATACATATCTATGTATGTATGTTCATACATACATATCTATGTATACATATATGTATGTGTGAATACATACGTGCATTAAACATACATATATACATATGTTGGTACTCGTACCCGCCATGCGTCGCTTTATTTCTTTTTTCCCCTTCCCTATACTACCTATATCTTCCTTCTCACTCATGTAACGTTTTCAGTTTTAAAAATTTCAGTCTCCATTTTTGCCATACCGCCGCCTAAGAAGTTTCACTTCAAAAATAACCGATATAATGCATATATGCAAAGTTTCGGTTGAAAAGCGCAATAATGCATATTAGAAAAACCGAAATTATGCATATGCACACTCTCGTTTGAAAACCAAAATAATGCATAAGAGAAAACCGAACTAATGCATACATACACAGTTTCGACTCAAAACCGAAGTAATGCATATAAGAAAAACGAAGTAATGCATACATGCACAGTTTCGACTCAAAACCGAAATAATGCATATGACAAAAACCGAAATAGTGCATAAATGAAAACGAACTTCGTTCTGCGTAGGCGGCCTTCGGTCGCGCTTAGGGATTATAACCAGTGTTACCGTTGTGCGACTAAAGTGTCAAATTGCCACTTTTTGGAGATCGATGCCCCCTGACACCGACTTTTTAGAAATAGGCTTACTTTGAAACTTTTCTTAAAAACCATGCGACTTTTTTTGCCCCTTTTCTTTGATTAAAAATTCTATATACACATTTTGATAATTTGTTCATAAAATATATTTTGTTTCTTACATATTTAAAAATGCCTTTAGTATTTACTTTTCAAAGACGCTTAAAATTTACATCTCTGGCAAGATTTTGACTGATTATAATGTCAAAATTTGTCCGCAAAATGTCCAAAAATAGCAAGAATCAGTGTACCGTTCTTGTAGCTTAGCATTTCCCCAGGTTATTTGTGTTAAATTCATTTTCGTAGCTCCGGGTACAAACAAATAATCTGCGAAAATTTATATACAAGCTTAAAAGGCTAAACTTTGTTATAATAATTGTTATCTACTAATGTTGATTTTGTGTTACATTGATGTAAGCACTTTTCAACTGCAATTTTCTTTTCCATTAGCAATTTATTAAAAATAATGCGGCATACTCATAGATGAAATAAAGTCGAGTTTAATGTAAGATGCAGCTTTTTTTGACAGATTCCATTGAAAATTTTTTCAAAAAGCTATAACTAGCCTAAGAGTAGATTTTATTTCGACTACGAATATGCCCCAATAAGTTTCGAGAGGTTAAATAATGAAAGTCTTTATATACATCGTATAAAAGATTTGAATTACTTGGAGACACTTTTTTCGGCTGTGACTTTGCGACTTTCGAAAAATTTTCCGCGGTAACACTGATTATAACTCTTACTGAGTAGAATTCTCTTTCTATGTTGCCAGAAAAGAAGCGGAAGTATTTTTGTGTAGAACTTCTTTCTGCGTAGGCGGCGTTTGGTTGGCACAGTTTCGGTTGAAAACAGAAATAATGCATATGAAAAACCCGAAGTAATGCATACATGCACAGTTTCGGTTGAAAACCGAAATAATGCATATGAGAAAATACCGAAATTATGCATATATATAATTGTTTTTGTAAAAAATATAGTTCATTCTGAGTATAACAAAAACCACTTACATAAATCTGTTTCAAATTTAGTGCAAAGTTAAAAAAAAAATAAACGAAATATTTTTGTACGGATGTGCAACACAGAATGAACTAGGTTTTAAAATTAAATCAAACAAAAATAAAGTACATAATTAAAGTTAAATAAAAATAATTTCTCTAAACTTGCCAATATGTGGGTGGGGTATAGTTATGATACGCAATATAATAATTAATTTATTAATTTTAGTTTGAATCTGATTTTGACACATTATTTCCTGATGCTGCTAAGCGAATGATTACACACTGGACTGCTTTCAAGGAGAAAGTTCAGTTTGAAGTAAGGGACAATGAACACAAAACCAAAGGTAAAACTTTCAAGGAGCGAAAATGCAGTAAAATATACATACATATGTATTTATTTATCGCAGAATCAGATGCAGAAGTACTCAATGCATTTGCTGGTCTACTCCCGTCCGTGCCACTTAAAGTTCCAAAAGGTAAAACATAGAAAGCAAGCAAACAGGATATGAAAGAGGGATTTTTGCTTCACATTAAAGTGAGTGCAACATATGCGTATTAAATTATCAGCAAATTACTGTGTTTTCTTAATGTATATTTCAGAGAATCCAAGACTTTGAGAAGACATTGAAATTTGTTGAAGAAAAAAACTTTTCTAAAGGGATCACAGTGCAAGGATTCCCTATGGTCGTTGGGGCTGACTTGAAAACCATAGAAAGCAGCTATTTTGTGCTCGATAGAACACCGTTTTTGTTGGAAAGTCCAACCCGGGCTGTGGAAGTAGCTTTTAAGGCGTTTCATGCCTTGTATAGCCCTTACCCGACTGTAAGCTGTAGATCTTGGCTAATTTTACAAGAAACCCTCTTCGGCATCGTTGGATATTCAGACAAGTATGCAGCATTGATGAAACAACCGGAAGTTATAAGACATATGAGAGCACTTCGTGTTTAATTTACTACAATTATTTACAGTTATCCATCAAATTAATTTGATCGTATGAAGTTGATCTCAGCTTTTTAATTTTAATCGGTAAAACAATTGTAATGCGAAATGTAATGTACAAAATTGATATCGGTTTTCTAATTTTCATCGGTAACAAAAACTTGTAATGCCAAATTGACTGCAATTATTGACAGTTATTCATCAAATTAATTAATTAATTATTTAATTAATTAATTTGTTAATTAATTTGTGTGTATGAAATTGATATCAGATTTTTAAATTATCTTGTTTTTATCAGTTACAAAATTCGTCAAAATGCCACCTTATACCGAATGCGAGTTTTTATTTTCCTGCATCACGTCTCCTTTCCATCATCTTACATTGCAACACAATTCAAGACAAAACGATACTTTCAGATGTAAAGAGAGCAATTGTTATACAACTTTTATGAGTATGACAAAGTTTCGTAAACATTTGGTAACTTTTCACGTAATTCCTATAAAATCGACACACATTAATCGTAATTTGAGGCAACAAAAGTACATTGCCACCGAAAAATTAGAATCTTTATCTACAAAATTGGACTCGCAGGATGAACCGAACACTGAACAGCCATATAATGCAAAAGATAATGGCTGCGTTTCTTTATACATTCCGGATAATCCCATTTCACAGCCGGAATAAACAGAATGCGTTTGAAATATACGTTGACATATCATCAGGAACGTTCTAAAGAATAAGTAAACAAAAAAGTTTATTCCAAACGTTCAGAATGAATAAAGAAATGCAGCCATTAATAATGACAACGGTAATGAGGGTCTTCACACAGTTTTTTTAAAATATACCGCAAAGCTGTATGCTGACCACCGTTTACCTCGCATTTTTGTGCAAGAGACAATTGAATCCACTAAGCAGTTATTCGAAGAGATATTGTGCATATTGAAGAAAGATATTGAAAATTAAATGAAAAGTTCTAATATAAAACATGACTTGCAAAGAAAAATTCTTTCGAAATTTGACAATACAACACTGCCATTTGCTAATTTTGCTACGGAACATTTAAGATTCAAAGCTTTTCGGGAATCGGGTTTTTTTCATTCAAGCAAAAGAATACATTGTTGGCGATCGAGTAGACGATAAGTTAAATAATGGCATAATACAGAAAAAAATTATCGAAGTCACAGCTCAATGTATTCCGATGCGAGAAACTTTGGGGAAATTTCTGAGCATACCCGGAGTTTTTAAATCTGTACACAATAATTATTGCAATCTTATGAGTAATGACAAGATAATCACAAACTTTGTTCAAGGAAAATTGTGGCGTAATAAAGTTAAATCTTTTAGTCCACATAAAATAGTTTTGCCTCTATTCCTCTATTTCGACGACTTCGAAATAAACAATCCTCTCGGCAGTCATTCAGGGATTCAGAAATTGGGTGGATTGTATTTTTCTATACCCTGTTTGCCCCCTGAAATGAATTCTTTTTTTTGTGCTTGGACTTATACTGGGAGATAATTTGGGACTTAACGCAGTTTTAGGATTTTCGGAGAGTTTCAATGCTAATTTTTATTGCAGATTGTGCTCATTATCAAAAACTGAGATTCAATTTGAGTCAAGAGAGAAAAAAATGCGGCTTGAATCGTACGAAAGTGATGTAATGCTAAATGATCCTAAGAAAACAGGTATAAAAGAGAGATCTGTGTGGGACGGCGTACAGTCTTTCCAGTCAGTCGAAAATTACTGTTTGCTTTCTGCATGATGGGTTTGAAGGTGTTTTGAAGTATGTGATGGCTCAAATACTGCATTATTATTGTTTAGAACTGAAACCCACATCTCAACGATTAAGCATTGACGTTGTAAATGGCAGATTAAAATCATTTGATTATCTTCATAGCAATATTAGTAATAAACCACCAATTACACTGGACCACAAATTTCAACTTTTTCTCTTTACCAGAAACGCCGTTATGAAATTCTTATGTAAAATCACCCCCTGATTCCGAGAATCAAGGTTATTTTTAATTCTATGGTACCGTTTTTGAGATATTTGCAATTTACCGTTTTTGCAAAAAAAAAAATTGGGTCCACTTTATCATATATATCTCAAGAACGAATTAAGCAATTCCAAAACGGTTTGAAGCTTTTAAAAGGTAATAAAATAGTGCATACAACACTTTTTGCTAGGCCCTGTAGATTCAAAGATAACGAACAATCATTACCGATTTTTTCAATTTTTTTTGTAAAAATATAAAAAAAAATTGTACTTTGCGGGGAAGGATCTCGAAAACCTTTTATTTTTTTGCAGATTTTTTTTTCTCCCTAAGCTCTGTTGTATTACAAAAAAAATAAGCTATCATCGAAGAAAATCGATGCAAAACTACGTAAGTTATAAGCGATCAAATAAAAATACCCAGGTTGCGCAACTTCAATGTATGTACCTATACATACATACATATATTAAAGGTATAAAGTGCAAGTGAGATATTATCCGGATAAACGAATAACACCATAACAATGATAACACTTTTTCTTTAAATAAATCAAATAGTACTTTTAATACTCGAATTGTATTATAGTAGGTAGAGTGGTTGCATCGAAAGGAAGAGTGGTTGGGTTCGAAACCTGCTGTAGGCATGTAGTTATAAACATGTATTTCCGTCAGTTATGGGTAAGTATGCAGGTAGATTTTCAAAATTATAAGACACAGAAAATTTCTAAAGCCTACATCTAAAACAGGTAGTATTTTCTTTTCCCGGCTTGTTATAAAAAGGAACCTTTCTGTCTAGGTAAGATTTGATTTTTTCAATTTTATTCTTGTTCCGAGTATAAATATGAGTTAATGCGCTTTGAAACTTCATAACATCTTCAAGGCTCGCCGGAGATAGTTCAGTTCATAAGTCTAATTTCAAAACCGTGATTTATTAAAAAAATATAAAATGAGTAAAAGGACGCGAGAATTTGAGTGTAATAAGGATCCAGATATGTTCTGTTTCATGTGTGGCCAATATACTATCATAAGGCGACGACGAGTGTTCTCAGATCATATCAAAACTTTATACTCCAAGTATTTTGGAATTGAGCCTAAAAATGCTGAAAAACCATGGACACCGAACACTTTGTGTACATCGTGTCGAGTAGAATTGATTCAGTGGGAATCAGGACAACAAACAAAATTTGATACACCAATGATATGGAGAGAACCTACTTGCCATTCAATAGAGTGTTATATTTGTCAAACAAAAGTACTTGGCGTTGGAAGATCAAGAGGAGTAACCTATGCTAGCGTACCTACAGTGACATTACCAGTACTACATTCAACGGCAGTTGCGGATCCAGTTCCATTGTCAACAGTAACATCTGAGTGCGGGGGATCAAGTTGTACTGAATTTCGCATGGAAAACGAAAGAAACGTTCTGTCACAAGCACAACTTAATGATTGGATAAGAGATTTGGAACTATCCAAGGAAAAGGCCGAGATCCACACTTCTCGTATGCAACAATTTAAATTTGTGTCATCCGATGTTAAGGTGACATATAGTAGAACTCGACACGAACCATTTTCCAAACACTATACCAAGAAAGACAGTATATGCTACTGCAACGACATCCCTGGTTTATTCAAAGAGTTTGGTCAAACATATGATTCAAAAGAGTGGCGATTGTTCATAGACGGCAATAAACTGAGTTTGAAGGCTGTATTATTGCATATTGGTAACAAAAAGCCTTCTATCCCGATTGCACATGCAGTAAATACAAAGGAAACCTACGAGGAAATGCAAAAAATACTCAAATTTATCAAATATGAAGAGCATGATTGGAAAATATGTTCTGATCTCAAAGTCGTTGCAATGCTATGCGGTCTACAAAGTGGCTACACCAAGCACTGCTGCTTCGTCTGCAAGTGGGATAGCCGAGCTCGTAAGGACCACTACGTCAGAAAGGATTGGCCGGAAAGAGTCGAGTTTACCGTTGGTGTGGATAACATCAAATACACCCCTCTTGTCAAGAAAGAGAAAATCATACTTCCACCCTTACACATCAAGCTCGGTCTCATTAAAAACTTTGTTAAGGCTTTGGACAAAGAAGGCGAAGCATTCGACTATTTGAAAACAGTTTTTCCAGATATTTCTCAAGCCAAGATAAAGGAAGGTATTTTTGTTGGACCACAAATAAGAAAGTTGATCAACAATAATCAATTCAAAGGACTACTCTCATCAGTGAGGCAGCAGCGTGGGAATCCTTTGAAAAGGTCGTTGCTTCTTTTCTCGGTAGACACAAAAGCCCTAACTACGAGCAGATAGTGAACGACCTAATCAATAATTATGCGAAAATGGGCGTAAATATGTCTTTAAAAATTCACTTTCTCCACTCACATTTGAGCTTTTTTCCGGCAAATCTTGGCGACGAAAGTGATGAACATGGCGAAAGGTTTCATCAGCAAATGAAATTAATTGAGAATCGATATCAAGGATTCTGGGACGTCGCAATGATGGGTGATTACTGCTGGTTTCTCATAAGAGAAACCGATCCTAAACTGAATAAGCGTCAAAGTAGAACACATAATTATTTCGACAACATAGTAAAATCAAATTAAGATAAAGATTGTTAGAATATAGTATAAACATAAATAAATTAAAAAAAAAAGTTAAAAATATGGGAAATTTCATTCATAAATTGAACTTTTAACTCAATAGAAACAGAGCATAGCTAGATATTTCACTCTTCTTTATACCATACATACGTTTTGAGGTATACGTTGAAATTGCGCAACCTGGGTATTTTTATTTGATCGCTTATAACTTACGTAGTTTTGCATCGATTTTCTTCGATGATACCTTATTTTTTTTGTAATATAACAGAGCTTAGGGAGAAAAAAAAATCTGCAAAAAAATAAAAGGTTTTCGAGATCCTTCCCCGCAAAGTACAATTTTTTTTTATATTTTTACAAAAAAAATTGAAAAAATCGGTAATGATTGTTCGTTATCTTTGAATCTACAGGGCCTAGCAAAAAGTGTTGTATGCACAGTTTATAGAAAATTTTATTACCTTTTAAAAGTTTTGGAATTGCTTAATTCGTTCTTAAGATATATATGATTAAGTGGACCCAATTTTTTTTTTTTTTGCAAAAACGGTAAATTGCAAATATCTCAAAAACGGTACCATAAAATTAAAAATAACCTTGATTTTCGGAATCAGGGGGTGATTTTACATACGAATTTCATAACGGCGTCTCTGGTAAATTTTGGCCGTCGACCAGTGTTATCAGCGAAAAAGAATTAAGGAGCAAACATTTGTCGATGTCGGGTGCTGAAATTCAAAACTTTGTGTACATATTTGCAATGATAGTTGGGGATTTAGTTCCACATGATAATGTCTGGCAATTATATTTACAACTTCGAAAAATCAGAGTTATGCTTAGCCAAAAAATTTCAGAAGGAATGTGGCAGTCTAATGCGCGTTATGGTTGAAGAATTTATTCTTATGCTTAAAGAAATATTTCCGAGAGAAAATGTGAAACCTAAACTGCATAATTGGACTCATTACGGCACTATAATGGAGGAAGCTGGCCCAATCATTGACCTTAGCACAAGCAAATTTGAATCCAAGCATAAGCTCAAAAAGAAAGAAGCCAGTGCTACCACTTCTCGTGTTAATATAACGTACACACTTTGTTTGAAAGAGACTTTAGGCCTTTGTC